ACCTGTGGGTCTTGCTCCTGGAGACTTGTTCTATGATCATTGCCTCGCAGGAGTACAAAGAACAATTCAATTTCTCAATCAAAAGGTTTATTACCATCAAACATCAATGCCCTAGCAACTAACTCAATACACGTTGTTATGAAAATATTTGGCTGATTTTATGCCTACTGATGTTAACTCTGCAGAGAGGAAGAAATCTTGAATTTGGCGAGCTTGTGAAGGCAAGCTGGGTTGCAAATACTTTTACTAGCTTTTATGTCGCCTTTACTGCAACAGAATATGGGGAAAAACAATCTTACCAAGCTCAAGTGTTTGTCTCTCTACATGATTACAGTCGAGTTGAGTTTTGGGAGTTCAGGGAAGCACCATCAAAGGTAATAACGATCTTTCAAACCCTCAATAATACCTAGTCTTTATCTGCACGTACGTCTCCATGAGATCAGATGGTTTGATTTTATTATTTCTTTATGGTTATTTCCCCTATTCTCGCAGAAGGGCGACGACGTTGGGAAAGATTGAAGCATGCTCTTGTTAAGGTTGCAATACCTACTCTAAATTAAATAAATTGACTCTGCTTATCTATGGAGTACTTTTTCTTGTGTTCTCTCGAGATGTTGAACAATCTCTAGGCGTTTTTTTGTTTACATTGTGATTCAATATTTTCTTGTCGTCCCCTTGATGTTGTCATTCTACCTTTTTATTATCATTTGACACAAAGTTTCTTACTTGGGTCATGCTCTAGCCACCCAATTAAGATCAAATCTAATCTGAACAATAATAAGTATATAAAAAAATATATAAGTTGGAGAGACAGGGTTGTATTCAATTCAGATTTTAAAAAATTTTGATAGATTATTTAAAGTCCCTGGATTATGTAAAATCAATGAATTATTTATCATACCCTACCTACCACATCTCTGGATTAAAAAATTTTTGATTTTTTTTAAGGTTTGGTTTCTTACTTTTTTCTTAAATCACACTTGTCACCACTAGTTTAAGAGATGTTGATTGTTAATTCCTCAAATGAGTCATATACTTCGTTTCTAAGCTTCCCCAGTATTCTCCTTTCTTCATGATCTTATTAGATGAAGTATTAGAGCCCAAAGACAGATTGAGACTTCCGAACAAATATGAGTGCTACTCTATAATTAGTATTGACATGTTTCATGATTTTCTTACCTTTGCAAAAATTCCATAAATGTTGATCCCCAGTTTTTTTCCATTGGATCTTGAAGCATCCACTAGAGAACCCATTTGGTCTATGAGCTTTTAGTATTGGGAATAGAAAGAAGACTTTTTAATCATATCAGGGGTAACTCCCCTATGGTTTACTGTCTTCTCGTCTCCGCTCCGCACTTCGCTCATTGGACGACTGAGATTCGTCACCGGAAGTTGTGGAATCGATGAGCGTTTCGGGCAGGGGAGCATCTCCTTCGACGGAGCCCGCCGAGCCGCGTTACTCGGCTGCGAAGATATCAGTGTGGTGGGACATAGAGAACTGCCAAGTCGAACCACTTTCATATAATGATCCACTTTCATTTTCAATAGGTTGTGAACTATACAAAATTTTCTTTAAAAAAAAAAAGGTTAAATTTCATAAATGGATACAAAAGTTGATTTTATTTTTCAGGAGTCAAAGAGAATTTTCCGCAGCTTATAAGGTCAATTCATTACCTTCAAAAAGCCGATACAGGGTAGATCTATTGTTAAAAAATGCATCAGTTAACGCAGAGTGTAGGAAAAATATTAAGAGGAGATAGTTTTTTTTTTGAAACCAAGAGGAGATAGTTTTTTAATTTAAGAGAAGATAGTTACAATGCTTTGGTAGTCATATTACACAACTTATATACTTCACTAAAATATGTAAGAATAGAATTTTTACCTTATTGTTATTGACATTGCGACTTGTAATATGGTCATTATTTTTCTTAAAAATTCTTATTCAAGTGACCTTAAAAATTCTTACTCCGTATTTAGAAGATTGCTTCGTCGGCCGCTTCCCTTTTTTCACCAATGACGTACTAAATTTATTACCAGTTGGTAGACGATTTCAAGACAAGAAGGGGTTTTTTGAACAACCAAATTTTGAATATGAGTTATTTTTCAATTTCAAAATATATTATTTAATTTAAATATTTTCCAATAATGAATTAAGATATAAAAGCTTTTAAATGTGATTATGCTGAGAAATTTGAGTGTAACAAATACAAAATGTAATTTCCATTGAATAAGTTTTTTTGTTAACTAATATTTAAATATAACATGATAACATGGCATTTTGACATGTTAAAAAAATTATTTAATAAACGCGTCACATGTCACAATTCCAGAACGCCAACTCTCAAATTTTATATATTAAATTTTATTTTTTAAATTGAAAAATAATTTTTATACAATCTTTTTTTAATTATGAAATATCATAAAAGGTTATGTGAACTTGCAATAAAAATCACCCTTGCTTGGATGGCTAGAAACTCAACCAATGTCTAGGAGGTTTTGGATTCAAACCCCTACAAATGCATGTTTTGAAAAAAATCGCAAGATTAAATACGTGGCAGATGACTTGTTAAAAATATGTCAAGTAGACTCGCCACATGTCAAAATTCTGTGCGACGAGTCTCAAATATTATAGTAAAGGATTTATGCTAGTAATAGTATTTTAGTCAGTTACTACTCCCTCCGTCCCAAATTATTTGCAACGTTTGCTTTTTCAGCAGTTGCGGGATCTTTTGTTTATTTCTACGTTTTGATTGGTTATTTGATAAAATAAAATATTCTTGACACCTCTTATTTCAAAAAACTTTTCATATAGTTTTTTTATATGTAAATTTTATTTTCTATTTCTATACCAATATGTAAATAAAATGAATTGAAAAAATTAATATTTTGCCTCGGGAATACAAGTGTGACAAATATTTAGAGACGGAAGGAGTATATTGGAAGAATCTCAATTCATGTCAGGATTTACATCTACATAACTACCATGTATCGATATTATTCCTTGAGTGAAATTCATAATTCTCTAAATCAACACATCTCTTTTAAAACAAATAGTTAGATGATATATAAAAAATCTTTTAATGATGATGATGATAGTCGTAAGAGTAAAATAATCATAAAAAATATATTTTTTAAAATTTAAATTCTAAAAAATTCAAAGTAAATGCATTATATAAAGAATGAGGTTAAATTAAAATTAAAATACACTACTTAAAAGATACATTCATCAGAAGTATAAAAATTAAATTGTATAAATAAAATTTTTATTTTTTTATAAAAAAATTGACTTTATAGGTGTCAAGTATAAAGTTAATTACTCCGAATATTAGATAAATTACAATTTAATTTGAAAACCATATAGAATGTCACATGTATACTTGGAAGCCAAGTAGAATGTCATATGTGCACTCACCGACCGAATTTTCTAACTTTTAGCAAGAGGTACCCCTTTATTACATTTTTTTTTAAAGATATGGTGTCTTTTTATTTTAAGTTGAAGGTAAGGTACATTTTGGTTATATTATCAAAGTTGAGGTACCTACCAAGTAAAAAACCTGAGAAAATTTATTCCGTATATTTTTTTTTTCTAAAAAAGTCAAGGCCGGCCAAAGGGACGACGAACCAACCAGTTCGGGCTAGGCCTTTTTATGTGGCCCAAAATTTTTACTTTTTTTTTAGATGATTTGTTCCCTCCATCTCAAATTAGATTCATTTTCAATATTAGATTTTTCGATAATTTTTTGTTCATTTACTGGTCATTTGATAAAATAAAATATTTTTATCACCACTTGTTAGATATAATTTTTTATGCATTGTTGAAAGGTGTATGTAAGGATTTTTTTCGAACAAAAAAATGAAAGAAGAAATATTTTTCAAAACGGAGGAAGTACTTTTTATATCTATACCAATTTTTAATAAAAACATTTTTAAAATAATTTGATTTTGCACGTTGTTTATAGTTTGGTATCCATTGTGCGATGGAGGGAGTATATACTTGCTCCATCTCTGGCATGATGACTGTCACTCTTCGAAAAAATGTACAAAATCTCGTCATTTTTGAAACTATTTTAATTATCAATTGGTATGGAAACAAAAATATAAATTACATCATTCAACAAATCTAATAAAAACACAAAACAAGAAGTAGGAAAGAATATTTTATTTCATGATGTTATCAAAGAAAATATGCATATAAACAAAAGTAAGTTAAGCACATATCATCTAAATTTTGGTGAATGAACTTTCCGGACAAGGCATAACTCTTTAGACATACTCTGTATTTAGAAGAGCAATGCTAGGGGTACACCAAAATGTATTACAAATGTACACCACCCCATTCTCTATCACCTATTTTTATTTATTTATTTTAAATTTCTTGCCAATTTATATATCTTTCGTTTGGTGTATACCCTAGTATTTTTTCTATTTAGAATTATTGTGAGAGAACACAAAACCTAGGCACATTATTATAATCGTTCTTTTGAGAGAGAGAGAGAGAGAACGCACTTTTGATCGGCAAGACGGGAATGAGAAGTTTCGATCCGGTGGAAACGAGACGGCGTCGATTTCGGTTCTAGGTAAGTCATTATAATCTCACTCCATACTTTTTTTTCTTCTCTAACGTTCTTGGAAAGGATTGGAAATCGCCGGATTCGTCGGACCAGAGTCGGGCTAGGGTTAGGTCTCCGACAGCTCGCCGAGGGACAGGGGGTCGCGGCTGAAGGCCCCCGTGGTTCCACAGTGATTTCGTTATAATTGTTTGATGATTTCTTTTGTTTAATGAAAGCATTGTGTGATTTTGGGACCTCAATTCGTTATATAGGGTAACCTTCAGGATCTACGCCATGGCTGATGATTCACCTCATCCGGATAATATAATGAAGGACGAAATGGGAATCGTTACTGACATAACTGATAACCCGCCGATTGAGTCTCGGCCAGAGTGGTACACAAGTTTTCCAACTGAGACTACATACGATTCAGACGGGGAGCCTTTTCTGGCTAAAGATGATTCCATTGCTGAAGACATGGAATCTTATAGGCAATTCAGGGCTGATTTTCTTGCCAGTGATGTACTCTTGTTTCATTACTTTACTGCTCTTGCTTTGCTTAATTTTTTCCATCCCTGCTGCTCACCTTTAAATGCTTGTTTTTATTTTTTTGTTCGTTCCTTAGGGTTATGATGTCACTCACTTTTTTGTGCCGTCTCCCAATTTTCGCTATTTCGTATGTAATCTGCTTCGACCTGTGGATCTTGCTCCTGGAGATGTGTTCTATGATCATTGCCTCCAAGCAGTACGAAGAACGATTCAATTTCTCAATCAAAAGGTTTGTTTCCATGAAAAATCAATGCCCTATCAACCACTCAATGGACATTGGTATGAAAATATTTGGCTGATTTTATGTCTACTAATGTTAACTCTGCAGAGAGGAAGAAACCTTGAATTTGGTGAGCTTGTGAAGGCAAACAGGGTTGCAAATACTTCTCTTAGCTTTTATGCGACCTTTACTGCAACAGAATATGGAGAAAAGCAAACTTACCAAGCTCAAGTGTTTGTCCCTCTACATGATTACAGTCGAGTTGAGATTTGGGAGTTCAGGGCAGCAGCACCAAAGGTAGTAACGATCTTTCAAAGCCTTGATAATACATAGTCTATATATGTGTACATTATGTATGTCTCCACAAAATCATACGGTTTGATTTTTTGTCTTCTTTATGGTTATTTCCTCTATTCCCGCAGATGCATGGAGTTGGGGAAGGTTGAAGCATGCTCTTTTCAAGGTTGCAATGATTGCTCTAATGATTGTGCTTATTCATGATGACTTGGGTATGGGGTTAAGATGTTGAACAAAACCACCAGTGGGTGTGTAAAGCTCAACGTCGATGCCTTAATTGGTCTTCCAAAAAACCTCGCCAGAGTTGGATAGGTTGTTCATGATCATCAATGAGACTTTTGCAGTTAAAAAACCATCCTTCCATATCCTGAAAGTTTTCAAGGTCTTGGCAATAAAAGAAGCTCTTGGCTGGTTGAAGGACCACCCTTAGAGCATTGGCAATGGCGTGGCAAATGCCCGCCACTCCATGCCACGTCAGCCCTTTTTCTATTTTGCCATGCTTGGCTTGTGCGTTCCTCCACGCAGGGGCATGTCCTGTGTGAGGCTTTCTTCCTTCTTTCTTTTTCTTACTCATTTTTTTATTTGTAGAAAAAATGTTTCTTTTAAAAAAAGGAGCGCATATATTTTTATGAATTAAAAAAATATAAGTAAAACAAATTTTTATAATTAAAATATGTCACAACAAAAACAATTAGTCGCCCCTGGATGACATTGTCACTCCACTCACTCATCAATGCTTTTTGATTGGTTGATAAGTTCCACGTCATCATTGGGCATTCCATTTTTGGACTTGTCATTGTCAGTGCTCGTTGAAGAATAGTTTTTCAATCAGTCCCACAGTAGTCAATGCATTGGAACAACCAAACGTTAATTGTCTAACTCCTTTTTCTCAAATTGTCACTGATGGTAAATCTCTGGTTTCCTCTTTAGGAACCACTATATCTTCTGTATTTGTCTATTGTTCAACGAACTTAGTTGCTCAGGTTTTAGACAAAGTAATCCATTCACCTCTAAATATCAGGGCCTATCATAGTACCCCATCGGAATAAATTCTTGCAGTGGGATTGTGGGAAGAATGTGGGCAAGGATTCCCTCAGTTGGAAATCGGCTTTACCAAAGCCGTTTTTAAAATAGAAAAAAGGCTTTTGCAAAGCCGTTTTAAAGCTTTTAAAAAAAATTGAAAAAAATGTTTTGGCTTTTGCAAAGCCGTTTTTAAATCTTTTTTTAAAAAATTAAAAATAACCTGTTTTGGCCTTTACAAACCCATTTTTAATTCCCTTTCTAAAAAATAAAAAATAGTTTTGACTTTTAAAAATGGAAAAATTACTCAAAATAATTCCAACTTTACCTGGTCTTTCAAAAATAATCCCACCTTTCACTATGATGCATAATAATCTCATCTTTACTGAAATTTGCCAACTTTGGGTCGCCGTTAAGTTTCTAACGGAGGTATAGAAGAATCTATATCCATACTTTATTTAAAAAGACATAGAATCAACATTTTTCCCGCCCAAAGACATGGGCGGATGCACTTAGAAATAATTGGGGGCCAATGCCCCCAACAAAATTTTGGTGTTAAATTAATTCTTTTTTAAAAAAAATAAATTCTTATTATTTGGGGTGCATGCCCCCATCTAAAATTGGAATTGACTCCATATTAAATTATTTACTCTCTACAAAAATGAATGGAACCTAATTTAATTAAGCTAGTTTTTAATTGTTTTGTTTAATTTTATTGAAGTAAGGTGTATTTTATTGTATTTAATTTATTGTTTAAAAATAAAATTTTATATTACTGATTAAATAAAATTTCACATTGAATAACTGTTTAAAATAAAATTTATTATTTTTTGTCATTTCAAATTGTCTATTTTTTTTAGAAAAAACAGGGGCGCTCCCCGACCATTTGTGCCCCCATCTACCTGAATTTCTGGATCCGCCACTGCCCAAAGAGTATGACAATTACAAATGCCAATTGTGATGTTAAAATGGTAAGTGGTCAAAATTATAGTAATAATTATTATATTTATTATATTTATAATAATTAAAGAAAGGTAAGTTAAAATGGCGAAAAGGTAAGTTAATTATTGTGAAGTTGAATTTTAATATTACTTTTTAAAAAAGTGATATTATTAATCTAAAAAATAATTATTATTAATCTAAAAAAATAGTTTAAAAGCTATAATAAATACCGTTCCTTTTTTATCACACGGTATTAACCAATTTTCTTTTTAAAACGAACAGTTATCTATTGGGTATAAATAAGTATTATGAGTATTGTTTTCAATTATCTATTATGATATGATATTTTTAATTGAAAAGTAGAATACAATTCAACAAGTGTGTCGCCACGACATATTATGTTTACACTGACATTCTTTACGATTTTGGCATTATTGAATTAATTTAATTATGGAAGAGTCCACTATTGTCTCTCTCACTCTTGAGATTCAAATAATGGCACAACGCGCATGAATTTTCAATTTACTTATCATCTTGTCTAAAAATAACAAAAACTATTAACCCAAATCGATTGGCCATAAATCTCTATTTCATATTTTCATTAAGTTCATCAGTTCACACAATTTTGAAGGAAAAATATATTTTTCATTCTCATAGAAAGAGGCATAAAAAGTTAATATGTACTCGTATTTCAAAAAAAGGCGACACAAATATTTTATCTTATCAAATAATCAATGAAAATACAAAAATAAATAAAAGTTATAGATAAGTGAGATAAAAATTTCAACAACCTTAGGGAAAGAACGAGTATTATTTTGATTGTGCATCACTCCTAAAATCTTGTTAAATTTCCCGTGTAAATCTTTTACAATTAGCAGGTTGGCACATAATTTCCCATGTAAAAAAAAAAAGAAAAACAAAGGAAAGAAAATAATGAGTGAAATATTAGCATTATAAAAAAAATTAAGACATCAAATTAAAGGAAAAAACAAACTTTTGTGAAGTACCATGTTGAAACAATAAACTTGGGCACAATTCAACCCCAAAAGTTGACTCAAGAGGTTGAGGTACCCAAGCTATTAAATAGCAGCACAATATAAAGCTGCATTGTCGATATGGGATGAACAAGTCAACACGCCCCCCTCACACGAGACGCAGATTACTGCGGGCGCGGTCGTAACATCAATGGCTCAGCTCTAATACCATGTTAAAACAATAGACTTGTGCCCAATTCAACCCCAAAAGTTAACTCAAGAGGTTGAGGTACCCAAGCTATTAAATAGCAGCACAATATAAGGCTGCATTGCCGATGTGGGATGAACAAGTCAACACGCCCCCCTCACATGAGGCGCAGATTACTGCGGGCGCGGTCCCAACATCAATGGCTTAGCTCTGATACCATGTTGAAACAATAGACTTGGGCCCAATTCAACCCCAAAAGTTAACTCAAGAGGTTGAGGGACCCAAGCTATTAAATAGCAGCACAATCCTTCGTCCCCCACCACTCCACTTCCCCTTCACACCGTACCCTTCAATTATATTGCCACATGTCAAATTCTTGTATTGTCAATTATGTTTGCACCGACATTTTGGGTTGATGTAAAGATACTTTTTGTTAACGCATCAACACTTTGTGTTCGTGTAATTTTTTGTTAACGTACTAACACTTGTCTCAGTGTAAACCATAAAAATGTTTGTGTATAAGCGCGGTGTGTACAATTTTTGGTGTAAATGTAGGGGACAGAGTTTTGTACTTTTTAGGTTTGTACATATCCGGAGTAACTTTGACTGGAAAAGGGAATCGGCGCTCATCGTATCTAATCTGCAGCGCTTCGTTCCTGGATACGATCTGCCCTATTCGAAGTACAAGCGATCTGCAAATTAGAACGTCAAGCAATCTGCCAATTATAACTTCAAGCGATCTGTCAATTAGACGTATAAGCCTCGCTTCGTTCCTGGATACGATCTGCCAATTAGAAGAAGACTTCATCCTCTTCAGAGTGCTTCTAGTTGTCACGGCAGGTAGCCCGCTCATCTTATTCTTTCTTTTTCTTTGGCAAAAGTAAGTAAATCAATTTTGATACTTTTTTTTTTATTATTTTTAAATACATCTCATCTTTTCAAATCAAGAAAATAAATCGTGCATAGTTATCACCCTTTGCCGCCCATCACTCTGTTCTATACAACAAAGATCGTCTAATGGCAATATGATAAAATTTTCCTATGCGTTTTATAGGCACTCTTTTGTCACATATAATGCTTGAAGAAGATTTGATCCCTTGAATGATACACTCAAAAATACTTGAAATTTTTAGGGCTTATGCATAGTATTTTCTCTAACTCTCACCTCAATGTCAATGTTAGAAATTGCGTATTGCGTTATTGAGGCATTTTTATGTCAAGGCGTATTGAGGCGTCAGCCTCAATCTAAAATGTTAGTAAAAGTTAGTAACATAAAAAAACAATGACAAATTAGTAAGAATAAATGTTGCCTTTTAAAAAAAAACATAAATTGGTAATAAAAAAAAACAAGCGGGGTGAGATAATAATAATAAGTTAAAAATAATAACAATAATGTTTCAAATAATAATAATAATAATAGTAATAGTAATTAGTAAACAGTAAGAGAAGGGATAATGATTAAGGAATATGCAATGAACCTTAACAAATTTACTCCATAAAAATAAACCTTAAAAAAAGAAGAGAGGCATGGCAAGTAAAAACAAAACACAAACGAGTTAATAAACTTATGATGCTCATCAAAGAATGGAAAAGCAGCTCTGCTAAGAAGATAGATGAAAACGATATAGGAGAGGCGATCGAGTAGGGTTAGGATTTATTCAGGTAATTTAACTTTTATATTTTGTAATTAAACTACTAATTTAAGCCCAATTTTATTTTTTGGGGAGAAAAGATGGGAGTAATTCATAAGAATAATATGAAATGTAACACTACTTCTATCATTTCATATTATCTCTTAAAAAAATCTAGAGGCATTTACTCGTCTTATTCTCGTATCAAGTCTCATTTTCGGGATTCACTACTACCAATGGCGTTTGCCGATGGCTATGACTAATGCGAAAGAGAAGATCAAATGTCAAAAAAATTATAGTAGTAAAACAACTAATAATTTTTTAATAATGATTATAATAAGTGTTAGTTTAAATAATATGTACTCCCTCCGCCCCTCTAAGATGTTCTCATTTTGACTTTTGGTGGTTTTTAAGGAGAGTTAAAAAAAGGTAAAAGTTTACCATAATACCCTTAATGAAAATGGGTGAATTGTATTAAATGAGGTGGGTGAGGTGTAATAAATAAAGTAAGTGGGGTAGTTGTGGTATTTTAATTGTTAGAAAATGAAATGAGAAGATCTGTTGTGGACAAAAAAAGGGCTATTGGAAAGATCTATGAGGGACAGAGGGAGTACTATTTTTCTAAATAATAAAGTGTTATTTTCTTAAAAATAGAGTAATAAAACTACAAGTTAATTTTTAATAATAATAATAATCAATAAAAATGATAGAAGAAAAAGAAAATAATAAGAAATAGATACTCCCTCCGCCCCCCTAAGATGTTGTCATTTTGACTTTTGGTGATTTTTAAGGAGAGTTGAAAAAAGGTGAAAGTTTAACATTATACCCTTAATGAAAAATGAGTAGAGTGTATTAATGAGGTGAGTGAGGTGTAATAAATAAAGTAAGTGGGGGTAGTTGTAGTAGTTTACTTGTTAAAAACTGAAATGAGAAGATCTATTGTGGACAAAGAAAAAGGGCTATTGGGAAGATCTATGGGGGACAGAGGGAGTAATAGTTAATACAAAGTAATAATAAAGTACTGTCATTAGAAATGTTATTTTTCTCAAAAAACAATAATGGTTATTTTTTGAAAAAAAAGAGTAGTAAAACTAATAATTAATTTTGAATAATAATTGTATTAATAATAAATAAAATTAATAATAATAATAGAGCAAGAAGAAAATAATAATAAATATGAAGTAATAATAATAGTATTGCTATTTTTCTGAAAACTTTGAATATTAAAACTACTAATTGATTTTTATATAATAATAATAATAATAATAATAATAATAATAATAATAATTAATAACATATAATAATTATTATAGAAAAAGAAAAAAAGAATTCAAAACAAAAAATAGAAGAAGAAAAAAGGGAGGCGCTAGATCAAATCCGAAGGCAGAGGAGGAGGAGGAGCGAAAAATGCTGAAGAAAGAGAAAAAGTTAACGGCAAATGGAAATTGACGAGAGAGTGACAGATTATCACCCCACAGTTAATTTTCGTTTTTTAAAGGTACCTTGAAGTATATTTTTAAAAATATTGGTGTCCTCCAATTCACCCCCACATAGTACACAGTCAGTGTTTGTAGAGCACCATTTAGCCATTCTAACCTTGGTTAAAAGTCTGTCTCGCATTAATAGCCAGAATATAAACTGCACTTTGGGAGGGGTTGCTTTGTTCCACACCCAGTTAGCCTATCCAACCCTCTGGAGTTCACCCTGAAGCCACTCATAGCCTTTTTTCACCTCAAACTCCCCAACTAGCTGCATTTCCCTAAATTTATCCCTCACCCTTACCATTTGTCTCCAATAATGGCAAGAGCTGGGCTCAGGGATATAATCCTAGTAACTAGCAGATTGAATATACCTGGAGTGTATCGACTTGACCCATAGCACATCCTTCTTGTTAGCTATGTCCCAGTTTAATTTCATGATGGTTGCTTTGTTCCCGTTAATGATGTTCCTTAGGCCAAGACCCCCTTTCCTCTTAGGTTGGCATATGATATCCCAACTAACAAGGGGAGATTTGGAGTAATCTGCTGCCCCACCCCATAAAAAGTTTCTGCATATGCTCATAATCTTCTTAAGCACCATTTTGGGTAGAATAAAGATTCTGGTCCAGAAAGTGATGACCCCCATAAGCATAGCATTAATAAGTCTAACCTTTGCACTGTAGGAGAAATGCTTAGAGTTCCAGGCATTGATCTTGGCGGTTAGCTTAGCAACTAATCTGTCACAATCTGAGGATTTAAGGCGAGAAGTTGTGACTGGGCTACCAAGATAAGTGAAAGGTAATTTGCCTCTGCCCATTCCAGTTAACTTAAGTAGGCTGTCCTGCTGCTGTGGCTTGACTCCTCCAAAAACCACTTGGGATTTGTTTGGGTTGATTTGCAGTCCAGTAGTCTCCTTGAATTTCTCTAGTGCTTTCATAATACACTGGATAGAACCTTCATCCCCCTTACATACCACTGTTAGGTCGTCTGCAAACATAAGGCTAATGATCTTCATTTCTGCACACATTGGGTGGTATTTGAATCTTCCTTGGCTTGCCATTTCTTGCAACAGTCTAGTAAGATATTCCATAACTAGAACAAATATTAGGGGAGATATGGGGTCCCCCTGTCTGATCCCTTTTTCCCCTTTGAAGTGGCCATGATTCTCACCATTAATACATAGAGAATAGGAGGGGGTAGAAATACAGAACTGAATCCAGTCTATAAATTCAGCTGGGAACATCAGTCCATGTAGAATTTTCAGAATTGCAGCCCAATTGACTGAATCATATGCTTTCTTAATATCTAGTTTCATCATGCACCTGGGGGATACATTCTTTCTATTATAGCCCTGGGCAAGTTCTTGACAAAGGAGAACATTATGGAGTAGCTCCCTTCCTTTAACAAATGCTCCTTGATTTGGGCTCACAGTATGGGGAAGAACCTCTTTCAGCCTGCTACTAATCAGCTTTGCAATGGTTTTATATACCACATTGCAGCACGCAATTGGTCTATAATCTGCTGGAGACATAGGGTTTTCAGTTTTGGGGATAAGGGGGATGTTAGTTGCATTGATTTGCTTCAGGGTTTTCCCACTCTTAAAGAATTCCAGTACTGCTTCTGTGACAAGTCTGCCCACAATGCCCCACTGTTTTCTGAAGAAACCACTATTAAATGTTGGGTTATTCGGTGAAGGCTTTGGAGCTTTGGGCTTTAAGCCCGGTCGGTTAAAGGGAAGAAATATGGGGGCCCGGTTTTAGTTATTAATTAAAGGGCCCATTAGTTGTTTCTTGCTTAGCAAGTTGTTAACCCTAATTTATATCTTATAAATACCCAATCATGTAACTATAATCTGAGAGCACCTAATAAAAGATAAACCCTAGTTGCAACCCGTGGAGTAGGTTACTGACCGAACCACGTTAAATCTCGTGTTCTTATTTCTGCTATTTTTGTGTGTGTGTGTGTGTTTGTTCGCTTCCGCTTGACCGCCTCTGATCTCTGATTCCTAACAAGTGGTATCAGAGCCTTGGTTCGGTTAAACACACGGTTACACAGGATCAATCGCAGGAAGAAGGCTGTTCAGGATCGTTTTTGCTGCTGTTTTGCTGCCGCGGTTAAGGGGCTGGTTCAGATCTAATCAGGGGCTTGTTCGGATCTGATCAGAGGCTGGTTCGGATCTGGTCAGGGGCTGTTCGGTCGGTTTTAGGTGAACTTGGCGATTAGGGTTTCTGATTTTGGACCTGGTACTCGTTGGTTCGGGTTCTTTGTTTTAGGGTTTGTTTTCTTTTGGAGGTTGCTTGGTTTCAGGCCGTTATTCCTTGATTTTTTTCTCTGGTTTTTTTTTCTCTCGTTTTGCAATGACTAAGGACGGGAGGGTTCGAATCGAGAAGTTCAACGGTACTGATTTTGCATGGTGGAAAATGCAAATAGAGGCGTTGCTTGGTGAGTGCGATTTGGACATGGTACTGGAAGAGAAACCGGATGGAATGGATAAGGCTGCTGAAGCAATTTGGGACTCAAAGGACAAAAAGGCAAGAGGTAAAATTACACTAGCTTTGACGAGGAGTGTGGCGTTTAATATCATGAAGGAAACAACTGCTCGTGGTATGTTAACAGCTCTGTCAAATATGTATGAGAAACCGTCGGCCGGTAATAGAGTGTTCTTGATGAGGGAATTGTTCATGATGAGAATGAACGAGGGCAGCCCAGTTGCTGATCACATTAATGAGGTCAATTCGATCTTGTCGAGGTTGTCATCAGTAGGCATGAAGTTCGATGATGACACTCAGGCTGTGATTCTGTTATCTTCCTTGCCTGATAGTTGGTCGGGATTTGTGACAACGGTTACTGAAACTGCTGGAACAGGAAACTTGAAGTTTGATCGGATACGGGATAGTGTTTTGGGTGAAGACATTCGCCGGAGGAACGCTAGTGGAGGATCTACTTCTGGGTTACTCAATGTTAGCAGGGGAAGAGGTAATAACAGAA